TGTTTGAAAGCACTATCAGGTAAAGGACAGCGCCTAATTGTTACCCATGTCGGAAGTGACAGTAGATTTTTGGAAAATAGCGCTCTTGTGTTTATATCGAAAAAAATAAGAGACTACCACGAGGACATGAATGCTTTGAAAAATGGTTTACTGAAGTATTACAGCGTGTAGAACGAAATTCGGTTATTGTGCTAGATAACGCTTCTTATCACAGTCGACGAGTTGAACGCATTCCGATAATGTCCAGTACGAAAGCGGATATGCAAATCTAGCTGCAGGATAAAGTAATAACATTTACTGAGGAGATAATTAAAGTGGAATTAATGGACCTAATAAAGGAACACCACCATAAATATATTCAATATGTTGTCGACACAATGGCTCGTGATCATGGCATTACGGTACTAAGACTTCCCTTTTATCACTACGAATTCAATCCTATTGAACTAATTTGGGCGCAAGTGAAAGGGTTTGTAGCTCGAGAAAATAAAACTTTTAAAATAGCCGACGTTCAAAATTTATTAAAAACCGGTATAGAACGTATAAAACCTGAAGATTGGCAGAATGCTATTTCCCAAGTAATTAAGGAAGACAATAATATGTGGCGCCTGGACGGTATGATCGAAACGGTAGTTGAACCTTTAGTCATAACTTTAAGTTCCGACCATAAAGACGATTCCAGTGATAGTTCTGAAGAATCAATGGATTACGAAACTTCATAGATTTAGAATTCAAGTAAGTGATACCAAGCTTAATTTACATATTTTTATAATAAACAAAATACAATTATAAACATAGATGAATTATTATAACAAAAATGGATAACCAACCTACTTTCATCTAGTAATATTCACAAATACCCATTTAGTTTGCCAATATAGTATTTCTGCGACACTGGAAGAGTGCATTTTGATATGATAACGATACCTTTTGCAGTTTTATGGCGCACCTTCTTTAATATTTTGTTCTAGTATAATACCCCATTTAATTTTCCAATAGCGTTTCTACGCCACTGGCATAATATTTACATATTTTTACAATAAACAAAACAAAATTATGAACATAAATGATTATTACTACAAAAATAGATGACCAACCTACTTTCATATAATATTATTTACTATTACCGCATTTAATTTGCCAATAGTTTTTATACGCTACTGGCATAATTCATTTTGGCAATAAACATGCACGTGATACTGATAACTGCTGCAGTTTTGAGCGCGTGATTCCATTCTTATGCTCTGGTATAGTATTAAAAATTATCTAAATGTCAGCATAACCAAGATAAAAATACTTTTAACCTACAGCCAATTTGAAATTATGTTGCTTTAATACAACTTTAGTTATATCATGTCAAATTTTAGGGAGATCATTTCCTAACAATAAAATGTTCATAAATAATAAAATGGTGTATTAATATTATAGTCTATATAATGTTTGGGTGCTATAAATAAAAATGGTGTCTATCCAATTGATTTTTTACTTTGGTATTTTTATGTTCCAATCATAATATTTTAAAACAATGAGATTTCTTTATAACCTCCGTAGGATAATTATTATGTTTATTATTATTTTTTATTATTTCTAATAGTTTAATATATTTTTCATTTGCTTAAAGGTAAATAATAATATAGGTCTTACTGTTAATTAGAAACCAACAGTAAATGGTCGAGCGGAGAATCCTACGTATGCATTTTGGAATATTTTGTCAGTATTTTAAATATGATATTTTTAATAGTGATTTAGTTGTAAAATAAAATGAATAAAAATCGATTTTAGTGACTTAAAAGATTAATTTAATATTTAAAGTCGTTAATTACAATATTTTTTTTTATACAGGGTAAGAATATTAATAACTTTGTTTATTCTGTTTATTCCAATGGGATTTAACTTACGAACACTGAAGTATTTTTTTACAAAATTTAGTTCTACATTTCTTTTTATTAATTATTTATTATCTGTGCCTTTTTCCTAAGAGGGCACTGCTGAAATGTATCCCAAAAAGTTTTTGCAGAGCTTTCGACATTGTATTCTCGCACCCCTCTTTAAATTCTTGTTAAAGCTGTTCTAAATTTAATTGATTCTCCAGAACGAAACTTCAAAAGATCAAATTAACGAGCTTTATATCGTGGGTGCCTGTGCGGGTATATTCGATTTTATAGAAATTCGCATTCCTATTACCTAGTTCCACCTTTAGATCTATTAATTGTAATCCGATTAAATAAAGCATTTCATATACCTAAAGGGTAGCAGGAAAATCATCAGCAATAGTTATACATAGGGTAATTCGTTTAACAAGGGGCTCTGAGAAATACAATTTGTACGTGGCCTAAAATGTTATTTGAAAGCAAGGGTATTTCGTATCTGTATCCAGCCTTCATTTTCTCTGTAAATATACCGTTGGTTTACATAAAGCGCTTGGTATTTCGCCTAGGCACGTACCTATTACAGAATAATAATTATAACAGAATTTGAGGTTTTTATTCTTTATCTTTTTTTATATTTTACGTCTCTAATATCGCTATTATACTCGTAAATTACATCATACATCATTATGGCATTTGCAGAGTAAACGACTTATTTTTTAGATGCTCTTATATCATATTTCATTGTTCTGTTTTACAACCTTTTTTTGTTGAAGAAATAAACGTATTAAATTTCTAAATCTTTGTTTAAAAATCGAATTTTGAGTCCAGAAAATATTTGTGGCGCAGTCAGTAGGATATCCAAGTTGTTACGTATCGAATCTGTCAATTTTCGTGTTATATACTTATCTGAATGGAATATTTGTCGCGATTCGTGTGTGGAGGTGTTGATATTGGACTGGTTCTCCATTCATCAAGGACTAGTTCAGCCGTTTACAACAATCAGCGTCGAAAAATTTCGATATCGTTATTTAAAAACAGAATTTGGAGTTCAGAAAATATTTGTTGTACATTGAGATAGTATGGAAGGGATATAATATCGCACATCCGATCAAATAGAGTTATAACTTAAAAAACTTGAGTTTTGAGTTAAATAGATAAAAATGCTCAAAATTAAACGGTGCATCCTCTCAAATAGTCGTATCTGTAACTCCACATATTCGCCACTAGATGGCAGATGACACGATTAAGCACTGAGACCAATTTGCTCTTTAGTATTCTCAGAATACTAATTATCAGTGTGACATTTAGTATTTTACTTTTTTTAAGTTATAACTCTATTTTATCGGAGGTTCTATATGACGTTATTAAAATGGCAACCATATGAATATTATACTTCTGTCATTTGTTGTTTATTTTTTCCATGGAGGTATAATACTAATGGAGATGCCATGAGGCAATTGTTTTGCATATGATACGTTTTATTAAAAATGACACCACTGCGTGGCTTAAATGGTTGACTAAGCAGGGTCGTATTCAAATATAATTAAAAGTCCGTATGCAGAATTACAACTTTTAAATGACTTACCTAAGACATTGCGCAATTATGACTTCTATACTATTTACTATTATTTATTAACCGTTTTCTGACCAAGCCAATGCCAAGACCATAAAAGAGATTAATATTATTATATTATTCTGTCTTCGCCGAAACCGTCCGATATATGACCTGTGTGATCGAAAATCAACGTTTGAATAACACTGTGCATCAGATTTGTTAATCTCTTTGTGCTTTAAAACTAAAACCCGAACTACGATTTTTCGTTCAAGGACTCTCTTGTCTTGATCAAAGCTGCCAATGTCAAAATCTGACAATGAGGAGAATTATGACATCAAATTACCAAAACAAAAACCAAACCACTACGTGATTTGTGAATAAATATATTTCAGTAAAAATACAGCCGAGTTTGTAGAAAGGACAATTAATTACTTTTAAATGTAGAACATGTAGGTCAAAAGTTTAAAAAGACCAAAAATTCAGTTAGGTATGACTTTATGGTTGAAAGTAGATGGAAGAAAACCATGATCAAAACTACTCTGTCAAAACCAATCGGAACTAAAAAGACTCAGATAATAGTTGTTGGTTTTATTTATGTTTGAAATAATTAATTATATAGGGTAGGTACATATATTACTTAAATTGCAAGCAAGTATTTACTAAAGATTTCTATAATTGGTACCTATGTATAATAAACAACAATCTCACAGATGCACAGCATACAACTATACAAATGGAATTATAGAGATAATTTATTTTAAAAATAGGCATTCAGTTGCGATTTGTGATTACAAAAAGAAAACTTTATTATAAAGTTAGTCAAGCCAATGTTCTTTATTAAGTTAGTTATTTAAGTTTTATTGTAAATAAAGTGTATACTAACTAAACATTAATTTATTGTCGGAACAGCATTCTTCTTCAATCTGACCCTAAACTCACTCTTATCAAAAAATTCTTCCTTTAAGTGAATAGAGCACAACATGCTATTCGGTTTAGGCTCAAATTGGTCTTTTCCCACAAATTTAGACCAAATTTTGAGATATTGTGGGTCTTTTGGAAACCTATAATAAAAAAAAGTTAAGCATTCTAAAAAAAATTTTAAGTACACTCGTTATACTTACTTATGAAAACTTAAATTAGATATTTTCTTATGCTCTTTCACTGAAGAGTTTTTACAATTAATTTAGGCACACTTAGTCATGATTTTTATACAAATTAATCAAAAAAAAAAAACACTTATTAAGATAGAAATAACGTCGAAATATTTAAATTTGAACAAAGTTCTAACAGCTCTTTGACAACTATGACATGGCCACTAAGAGAGGGGGAAGGGGTGTCGTTTTTTTTTGGCATGTCATCTCCATAGTATATTCAACCTCATTGATTTTTTTGTGTTCTATTATAAATTTATCCAATCACGAGGCACCTATCAGCATGGTTTCATGACAAATAGATCTACAAATATATCTACTTGCTTCTCAGACTTAAAGACATAAAACTCTCTCGATCACTGTAAAACATAAACATCATGATTAATAATGTTAACTTTACTAAACAAAAACCATTTTTTTCAGGTGGAAAGGTGCCTCAAGACAGAACGATCATCAGAAGAGTGCTCAGAACAGTCTCTCTACCATTATTCATATGCATGTGCATCATCTCGAGCGTAGGAATCCTGGTGGCGGCGGGCCTAATAGCATTTAATATTTGGAACAAGCACAGACGGTAAGTGAAAAGCTGAAGCTTATCTACCCGGCCTAGCTTAGCGAGATGTTTACCCAACTAAATCCTGATATCGTCGTCGTCTCTAGGTCTGTAAGTCTGTAGGTTTATGAGGTTTCCAAACTTGTAATTAATAGCACTTGAACACCGAAAGCCGTTAAGTCGGTTGCATAAATGAATTTCGAGATAAAAGTTTGTTTTGCCTTAAATACGCGTCACGAACTGACGATGTGGATATACGAAGATATGCAGATATAGGATAAAATTGGCTTATGATATAAAAAATTACAGATGTATGATACTTAGCCGACTAAATCTCGTCGAGTTCGCGCATGACGTAAAATTGGTGCGGAAAATTTAAATAGCTCATTAAAAAATTTAGAAATAGAGCATAATATAATTTGAATTGAAATTAATATGAAAGAAAGTCTTGATAATATAAATATTTGTAATATTCTAATTTAAATATTTTAATATCATAACTCGTGGGAATAATTTAATAAATGTATTTTAAAGCCTTAAAGTACAACTGTGTGGTTCAAAATTTAATGGTTGTTCACTTAGTGAACAACTGATCAAAACACTACAATTGAGGTTGAAAATACGATCCAAAAATATACTATTAGGTAGTTATTTGGAGTTTTAGACTATTCGGCGTCGCTGTAAGATTTAAACTAGCAATTTATCTTATAATTTGAATAATATTAATCCCACTCTTGCATTCAGTTAAATGATCTGCGGAATCACAAGGCCATTAATCACGAGTTTGAAAACCCAGCAAACTTAGTTTCCTAACCAAAACAGAAAGTTATACGGGCAATAAAGAACATAATTTGTTCGAATTTGCATATGAAACCATCGAATTGAATGGAATAATTTTTAAATTGTGAACTTCTTACGTATTCGTAATTATTTAGAATAGCTGCAATAAATTTAATATAGTCCAAGTCATCCACAATTTGAAAAATAGGATTAGGAAGCATTATAATTGATTTAGGAAAAAATGTAGCTCCACCAGATCGCCTGTCTGGACCGAACTAGCACATCACACTTCTGTCTGGGAATCTTGACAGTGAGATTTGTTTCCGAATTTTCAAAATATTTAAAACTATTTTGAAAAATTCGATTAGATTAAGTAAGGTCAGTCCTTTAATCGTAAAACAGTAATTAAAAACACTTAGTTTCAAAAATGTACCTAGAAATTATAAAAATTGGCCTGTCAGAACACATCAACTTAAGTGGTTCTGGGAATAAGCCATAAAGTCTTATTAGGTGGCTCTCTTGAAGTATACAGGGTGTCCCAATAATAAACCAGTTCTATCACTACTGTTCGTTAGCTTAGTATCTTATTATATAATAAATATATAATAAACAATTTTAAAATTAATGTAAACATATCTAAATTATGATAATTTATTTTGGGGTTTGCATTGTTCTCTAATTTCATAATAAAATTTATTTACAGCATTACTAAACCATTCTAAAACTAAAATAATTTAAAAAATATACATTTTTATTTATCAGGCAAAAACGCAACACCCTGTATATCCAAAATACTTTTAAAATACGTATTATTTATTATTATATAACTTTTATTTGAAACTTATTTGCGTGTCTATAACACAAAATGCACAAATGGGAAATTTAATTTTTAAATTGTTGTCTGTCCGATATATGCCATTTTTGATAGATTTAAATTCAAAATGTATTTCTCCATGGTATAAAAAATAAAAGGTAGGATATCAAAAGTGTCAAAAATAGGACGGCCACGCGCATAACGTCACGCGTAGAGTTTGTATAGGCGCAAATTTAAAAATACTGATGAAGTGCGAGGAAAATATATTCTACTTACAAAAATTTCATGAATATTAAGGATAATATTTTAGAAATTACATGAAATATCTATGGATATTATTATAGGATAGTTAAGGAAAGGAACATAAATGCAAATACATACATAAAAGAAGTATTTATTTGAACAGTTTTTTACTTTTTCTTGTTTAATGATTTATTATGGTTATACAAATTCGACTTCTAAAGAATAGTTTTTATAACCAGGATAATGAAAAGGGTATCTTCGCAACTTGAAACTGGGGATCCCAGTAACAATTTTACATCTGGATATACTGGAAATTTTTTATCTGATTACTCATTTACCTGCATTAAATTACCCAATTTAATAAAAATAGGTTTTAAAAAATATGTTTTTTCATATAATATAATGCAGACAATATAATATAATGCAAAGCATAAAAAAATGTACGAAATTCAAATAACAGCTACATAACATATTGTGGGTGCATATACAAAATTAAAATAAAATGTCACTGCAATTTTCCTGGACAAAGTCGCTGACAGTATTTTTAATTCATTCATCAAGTACAAGTCGAAAATTTTCTTTTTTTTGCGACATTTACTATTTCACTTTTGCTTATATTGCGAAATTTTTAGCCTTCAAAGGGTAGAGTCTCCAGTTTATAAGTCCCAAGTTGCGATTGGACCAATGTGAAGTTCTGATTGGAGGTTCCTCTTATAATTGGAAGGTTGAAATAGCTTGGAATACATATGAAAATTTATTTGCAGGGTTACAAGCCACTGCAAGGGCTGCTCCATGTCGAATTTTCTTGGGAAGGAGGGTAGAATTGCCTATTTAGCATATTTTTTTTTTTTTAATAAAAGGCTCATGGATTTTAATAATTTTAATCTAGGGAACGGCATGCTTCCCTGAGCCTCCGCTGGAGTCGCCCTTGGGCCACTCCTCACTTGACTGAGCTCTTACTGTCGAAGAAAGCGAAAAACCATAATATTTTTCTTGAATCCTTTGTTTTAATTGTTACTGTTACATCCGTACCGCAATTTTTCAAAGTTTTTCACTAAAAGCACTCAGAGAGAACAAAGTTTACAACATAATATAATACAAATATCTGTTTAATACCTTATAAATCACTATAAACGACTCCCAAACTACTGCAACATGCGTCTGTCATATGATATTTATTTCGCGCCAACTCTGCTAACTCTACGCATGACGTCAGCGCCGCCATGACACCATGCGCGATATCCCCCCCTGGTATTTCTCTATATCTCTTATATATGTTAGCAACCCCCGTAAGAAACGCCACTGGGATATCTAGTACTATGACTCATTAGGCGATAAGTTGAAATCATCAGAAAATGATATAAGCGTTAATTTAGATATAATGGCATTATTGTGCGAATCTTTATACAGTTTAGTCGAGTATAATAAATAGTTGTGTTAAATAGTCGAGTTTAGTGTTACCTTGATGAATAATGTGGAATGGATTAAATAAATGTATTTAATCAACGACTGGTTTTATTAAGTTTTCATAAAGAACAAAAGTGAATTGCACTTTTATTTTAACATCAGTTTTACAAGTAGTCAAAACAAAAGGTGACATCAGACAACTGACAGAATACAAGTGACATCATTCATAGATCATGAACTAACTAGACATTAACAAATATAAGGGTAGGGGTTACAAAAAAACAAGTGAGAATTATATTTAACACTCCTAACATATAAAACTGGACTTTTTCAACTCATTTTGATTAAGAAACGTTCCAGTTCCTCATCTGATAACACAATGAGTTTATTGTTGAGTTGAGCAATGTACCATAGACATAATATTAAATATTTCTATTTGTAATTGACAAGCTTTTAACGCTTTTATTAACATGAAATCAGTACAAGTTACAAAGATCGATTAAAACATTTTTATGATATTCATTCAACTATCAATTGTCATTGAACATAGACCATAATTAACAGGATATAATTATTCTAGAGGTTACAAGTTAATTTGATTGTCTCAACATTTATTACTTAGTTATTTTAAAAAAATTGTATGTTCCATGCAGTTTTAAATAATTATCTATAAAAAAGCTGTCATTTTCATTTTTAATAAATTACACAACTTTACATTTACATAGAAAAACATTGTCTTTGATTAATGCACACTTTTCAATTCTTTCTCGAAATCTTTGTTTGATAGATTCTTCATCTTAATAAACAGAATATATATTTAACGATAAACAAATTTTAAATAAAATGCATTGGTATTCCAGAGTCATCCAGACATCACACCCAATATGCAACACAATCATGCTGTTCGGTATCATCGTGTGCCTAGCAGCAGTGTTCCTTCTTGGTCTAGATGGCAGATTCGTCAGCCCTGAAGCTTATCCGATAGTGTGTCAAACTAAAGCCTGGGTTATCGCGACAGGCTTCACGTTGTCCTTTGGAGCGATGTTCAGTAAAGTATGGAGAGTGCACAGGCTGACTACCAAAGCGAAAACTGATCCAAAAGTAAGAATGGTATGTTTTTTATTTATAGAATGATCGGTGTTTTTTATAAACTTGTTTCTAATATAGATAAAATTTATTTTAAAATACCTGCAACAAAATTTATTTTAAAATACCTGCAACTGATTATGTAGAACTGTAGGAACAAGACGTTGATAACTAGTCAAATTCAACATTAAATTTGATGGGAGTTAGAAATATTGAGTTATTCAGATTTTTTTTAGAATCAATAGGCTTCATTTCCTTATAGAACTTGATTTTAACTAAAAAAATTTATTAATCAATCTTTTAGGGCTATTTGTACCGCTAGTAGTTAACATATAAGCAAAGCTTAAAATGATATTTTTAATGAAAATATGTCACTTTAAGCTTGGCTTATTTTTTACCGATCAGTGGTGCAACTGGACCATAGTCACCTATCAGAAGAATCCACCTTTTTACGTGAGCAATGTTAATTAACACCTTTTCTAACCTATTTAGGAATAATGGTACATCAGCACCAGCTGGTCTATAAAAACAGATGATAATAATTTTATTTCAATTATATTTCACTTTTCAACAACAGCACTCAAACACATTTTCAATCCCGAAAGCATTTATGTCACGTCTTTCTTTACACGGGTACCCCTCTGACACATAAATTGCACTTCCTCCATGCTCTCTCCCCCTTTATCTGCAGAAACTGGTAACTAGCCAGAATTTTCTTATCCCATGATTAGTTAACATTTTATTCTTCCAAAACTCATCATCTCTGCAAATTTCTTCAACATGGATAGGGCCTAAAGGAGACCAAACAATAAAATAACAATATTCCTTGCCTGAAAGATGTAGCTGCCCTTGTATTTGGTAGTAATACTGATGAGTGTTTTTTAAATACAACAACACCTCCTCATCATAGGCAAGAAATTTAATTTTCTATACAGCTACTTGTTCTATTGAGCAGCTTTTCAGGACAGAGGGACATTAGTAAAATTGTTGTCGTCTTCAATTAAACCATCTGGACTAGCAATTAGGAAATATTCTTCTTCAGTTCCAATAAATAAGCCACAAGGTATAACAGTTAAACCTGTCAAGTCCTCAAATGCACGAATTGCTGTGGCTTTCCAGCAAAGAATTTTACAGGATGGTTCATTATCTAATAATCTTCCTAGTTCATCAATACTACTTCAAATAGATTGCCTATTTTGATGTTAGGTTGCTTTTATTTTTTGTTAAGGTTGTTCCTTGGCTTAGTTGGGAAAATTTGAGTAATTTATGTGTGGCCGAAGTTTATTTATTTGAGAAATATATACACTTAGTGTCCCGTGCACTATGTTTTCTGTAAACTAATCTTAATTTTTTTTCAGTTTGGGCAATCTAATAATGTATTTTCTGGTCATTCTCGTGTTAGTTAAATTTATTTAACTCGAAAATAAAAAAAAAATTACTTTTTGGTTCCGTTTTTTGTTATTAATATTTTATATCCAAGGTCTTTGTTTACTGAATGTTTTACGAAACGAGGTTTTAATTTATTTCTGGTGGCTTCTCTATTTTTTACAAATATTTCCTGTCCTCCAGTATATACCGTTGAATTTTCGCGAGTTTCGTTGCGATTTTCGATTACATTTTCTTTTTGTTGCACCGTTTTGTCGAAAATATATTGATAAAGTGTTTTTAGTCGAATTTTCCTTTCGTTTAATTTCCCGTAAATGATTAAAGACTAATCTTAAATTTTAAATGTGTTGCTCTAAGGAAGAACTGAATACAATGATATCGTCCAGGTATACAAGACAAATTTTGCCTTGAAGATTCCTAAGAACGTTGTCCATTACCCTTTGAAAGGTTGCTGGAGCATTCCTAAGGTTGAAGGGCATGCGGGTGTATTCGTAGTGGCCACTTTCTACGTTGAAAGCAGTTTTTTGTACCGACTTGGGATCCATCTCAATCTGATGAAAATATTGGCATCGTCCTAGTTTATCTAGGATGTCGGTTATATTTGGAATAGGGTATCTATCCACTATAGTCTTTTCGTTCACTTATTTGTAGTCAACCACTATTCTGGTTTTCCTACGTCCGCTAGCATCTGGACGCTTTTGGACGACCCATGTTGCACTACTCCATGGACTTTGACTGGGCCTTATAATCCCATCTTCAAGAATCTTGAAAATTTGTCTTTGTACCTCGTTCTTGTTTACCAATGGATAACTATGACTTGACATAGACCGGACTTTCGTCTGTGGTCTTTATTTCGTCTTTTACTTGATTTGTAAAACTCAATTTTTGGTTCTCTCTGTAGAATAATTCATTAAATTCGTTACATAGATTAATTTAAATGATTTTTTCTTCAAAATTTAAATGACTTTTGCGTATTAAGTTTTCTATATCCTCATCTAATTGTTCATTATTAAAATTTTCTATATGAAAAAATTCTAAATTATTTTTGTGCCCCTCTGTAAGTAGAAAAACTTTAATAGGTTCTGTTAGCGTAATAGTAATTCTTTTATCTGTATTGTTCACTATTTCTGTTTTCGCAAAGCCGTTACAAGATAAAGTCAATGTTTCTCGGAAATCAAGATCTCCTTATTTTATTTCGGGCACAATTACCTCGCCATTAGAATAATCTACTGGCACCTGCATAACAACGATTTCGTATGCATCCACAGAAATTGTATAATGTCCCCTATTTATTTTATATAAAATTGGTATTTTTGTATTTTTATTTTTTAATTCATTTTTTACTAAATCTACTAAACTTACGTAATTCTTTTAATCCTAGTAGCCCATCAAAATGATTATGGAATTTAAATACTGTAAAGTTAAAGTTAATATTGGAATTAAATTCTTTAAAGGCTAAAAATTTAGCATTATATTCGGTTTGCTTTTTACCTATAGCCGTAATTATTAAGGTTGGGCCGTTGTAAATATTTTCTGGGAAATATTTTTTAACGATATTTGGACTTAACATACTAGACATACTACCGGTATCTATAAGGAGTTGTAAAGGTGGATTTTGTATAACTATATATGGCAAATCCGCAGAATATGATTAGAAAATATTTCGTTTATGTTCCTTGTTTTACTCTGGCTGTTTTCCGAAAATCTTCGGCACGCTGATAATCGAAATTACTAGGGTCAGAATTTATAGGAATTTTATTATTTTCTGAGTTTGAATTCATTTGATGATTCGGTAAATTACTTTCAATTTCGTAATCGATTTGATCGATGGGAGTTCCCTCAAATGGATTTTTAAAATCTATGTTATCTGTTTGAAATAGTTGTTGGGTTGCAAAATTTTGTTGGTAGTTTTGTCTGGGTCTAAAAGTGTTTTGGGTGGTTGTAGACATGGGTTGTTAATAATTTTGGAAATTTTGTAGGTATTTTGAGTAGTCTAATCTAAACTGGAATAATATATTTTACATGATAATGATAAATACAAAGTTAACAGTTTACGGTTTTATATTTTAATAGAATCAACGTTTCTTTTTATATAACTTGTTTCATGTTCTCCACTACATTTGCAACAACAATTTGGTGCTTTACAATATTTTGCAACATGTCCAAAGTTGCAACATTGTTCTACATTGTGACATTCCATGACAACGTTACAAACCGTTTTATTTTATTCACAGAAAAAAGTTCAACCGTGGAAACTCTATTCGATGGTATCCGGTTTGCTGATGATTGACTTCGTGATCATGTTTACCTGGCAGCTGTTCGATCCTCTGCAAAGGCGCATCGAATCATTTCCCTTGGAAGCGCCCGTTTCGGCGCTGGACGACGCCCAAATAAGGCCGGAGCTCGAACACTGCGAAAGTCAGAACAATAACGTTTGGCTGTCCGTCATATACGCTTATAAGGGATTAGTTCTGGTAAGTAATCATAAAAGAAATTGTAGTTTTAGACGGTTTTAGACAGTTTCAGATAGTTTTAGACAGTTTTATACAGTTTTAGACAATTTTAGACAGTTTTAGACAGTTTGGACAGTTTTAGATCGTTTAAGACAATTTTAGACAGTTTAAGACAGTTTTAGACAGTTTTAGACAGTTTTAGACAGTTTTAAACAGTTTAATACAAAAATCTATGCTCACGAGCATATCGATTAAATCCCCTGTATTTTTCTCGCATCAATCCACTGGTAATAAACGCTGTAAGTAACTGTTGACCTACTAAACGACTACCGTTCAGTCGGTTCGTAACTTTATATCGGTAATTTAATTCAATGCGATGATACCGACGATTACGTCTCATAGAAACTTAATCGCGACATAACAAGTTTCCAGCCGTCTTCTCAGAAGTTGTCGCGACTTATAGCCCCACTTATTAGGAAGGAATCCCGGACCTCGACCGATTACGAGCTTTTCCTAATAGAGAAATCCACTTAAAATTAATGGCAATCCCGGACAATTTGAGCGGAGCTCCATCGCCGCGCTCGCTAATAAATAGCGAGAGACAGTCGTCCGGAATTATTGCGTAAATAAAGCCCGACTCGCGTTTTATTTTTTTCCGGAAATTTCTACGAGGGAGTCTTTGCGTTGTTTGGAGTTGGGAACAAGGGGAAGGGGGGGCAGATTGAATGAAAAATACGAGATGTTTTCGGCGATCTTTTAAGCTTTTATAGGACGAATTTATTGTTATTTCTGGTTCTGCGCATAACGCGCTCTAGATGTTTCGGAAGCATGTTAATGTTGTAAATAGGGGATGCTCGTTTTTATTTTTTACTGAAAATTGCACACTTATTTGTATTAACTAATAAAATGCGTTTTTTTAAATGTCACAATGCCGTCAAGGTATTTGTTCGGATTTTTTGTTGGAGTACCTGTTAAAAAAATTAAAAAACGAAAGAAAATATATTTGAATTAAAACACGGAACAAAAACACAAACCTAAGCCACCTCTGGCAATTATAGAGATAACTCGAAGACATTACGTCATTTTCGTCATAAAAACAAGTTGCCAATAGAAAGCTGTCATGTGTTTGCGTCCCCAAATGATTGGTTAGAAACCCAAGCGACACCAACGAGCCATCCTGCGTGGATCTGCTTCAACCGGCACTATAGTCTATTTTTATGTATGAGAGAGTATTAAAATAATAAAGCGTTCGTAATCCATAGGCGTACCTCTTCTTTTAGTAGACATTTAAAATATTTTTTGAAGTTATTCCTCGAGTATACACTTATATTTTTACCTAATTAACCTGCTTATAACTTCTAAACAGCTGAAGGTAAAAAAGTACAATTTTTTCTAAAATGTTTTATTTTTCCACAAGTTATGTTAAGAACATTGTGTCAAACGGGTTATGTAGGTATAAGGGTTTAAACTTTGACTTTTAAACAACGTTACGTTCATAAATAATAATTTTAATATAAAAACTACTTCTTACCTACAATTCCAAATCAGAATCGAAATCAGAAGATGAACTGTCGCAACCAATATTTACAATGAGTGGCTCGATCATTTCATCAGTAATATTGTCCAACTCCCACATTTTTTTCTTTAATCGTATGATTTACTGCCTTTTCCCAGTTTTCAGGCTTCACATTATTTATAGCCTCCAGAAACAACTGTTTAACATCACTCATTTTAAAAGAATTATTTTTTTTTTTGAAACTTCTCCCTTTATCTGTGCCCATATCAGTTCAATCGGGTTTACTTCGCAATGATATGGTGGTGATCTAACCACCGTTATCCCACGATTTTTTGCAATTTCATCAATTTCATATTTTTTGAATTTCTCTTTATGAAAGGAACACAAATGATACAGTTCTTTTCTCACAGAACCGGGATGGAACTTAATATTCTTTGAATTTAGCCAATTCTGTAAATCTTTTTTTAACCACTTGGTTGTGGGCATTTTTTTCTATAAGTCTCGAGTGATAACTTGCAATATCCATTACTATTATACAATTCTGAGGAAGAAGATCTATAATTTGTTCGAACCACTCTTTAAAGACATCAGCATTCATGTCCTCATGGTAGTCACCGGTACGAGTAGATTCAAAAGTCAATAAACCACCTTTAACAAAACCGTTTGAACTACCGATGTGTAGTATTATTAGTCTGCGCCCCTTTCCTGATGGTGGATTTAAACCAGTAGATAAATTATTTAAAAAAGCCTGTCTTCGAATTGTAACAGTTTCATCTTGCCAAAATTTATTTGGTTTATGTCCCTCGTTGATCCATGTTTCATCTAAATAAAATATATTTCTTCTTTGGTTTCTCATTTCTTTTATAGTCCTTAACTAATTTCTTCTCCATACTACAATATCGCTTCTTTCTATTAAAATAGACTTTCTAGAATGCTTTTTCCATAGAAAACCTATTTCTTTTAAAAGTTTCCATAGTGTGCTTCGACTCATTTCAGGGTAATCCTTATCATCTCGAACCGTGGCAAGAACTTTGTCTACTATCGGAAATTCTTTTCTAAAGAAGAACGCATGCACTTTCCTTCGAAGTCTTTCTTTCAAAAAATTTTCTTATTGAAATTTTGGTTTTCCTGGAGCTTTACGTGCTGTTTGAAACTCGCCACATTTCTCTTCTTCAACAACTCTGTAAATCGTAGATATTTCCCAACACCAAGCGTATTACTAATTCCACTATGTCATCAACACTTTTACATAAATGTTTGTCTGTAAATGATTTTAAACAATTAAATATTAATGTTTTTTCATTAACTGTTAAAGGACCGATTTTTTGTCGTTTACGCGGCCCTTTCAAATTTTCCATGATCACACTAGAATTCACACTGCACCTTGCAAGTTGCAACTAAACGACATTTAATAAACTGTCAAGAATACACAACTTGGACCTCCTTACTAAATGGAAAACCTATAATCGCATTTTCGGTGAAATTTGTTTATCTACTTATAATTCGATTACTGTAAGAAATTCTTGGAATTACAATAAAACAAAATTGACAAATAGGTACTTATTGAAAATAATCTTAAGATACGGCTGTGTAATCTTTAATACACAGGGCTTTTGGCCTCTCCAAACCTTTTTCTATTGTTCTGTACAGCTTATGTTTATAAAGGACCAATAAAAGACCCAAAACTTGTAATAGCTCAGGTACATTTATTACAATTTTAGGAAATATTTAGACTATTTTGTAAAAATATTTTAAATGACCGTACTAAGTTTTGCATTAGAAATGCTGTTTTATTACTCTCTCATACATAAATATAGACTATAGTTCACAACTCATTGTTGACATCAAGAATTAGAAGAATTTGGAACTAAAAACTCCAAATAATGAAATTTTAAGGTTAGGTAACTTGTTAATTTACAACCTCGCTTACATTTCGCACATGTCTTGACAGTCCTTCCCTATTTAAATCCAGGAATTTATTTGACTGTAATAAATCTACTTCGTTTCTGATTTGTCTTACAGTTATCTTGAAACACTCAGTTTTTGTAAAATTTTGCGAATAAATTTTGTATTATGTTAAAATAGGTACGTTTATGAAAATGAAAATCAACCTTTCAACCATTTATATTTGACACACTACTGTAAAACAGGTCAGGGTTTAAGCGATGGGATCAACTGTCGTAATACCGCCGACATTTGTGCTATGTTTATGCCCTCCACACACACGTCTAGCGAAAATAAAGAAAAACAAAAACTATAAACTATAAAAGCAGCTGGATATATTCTATGCGACACAGAATGCATAATGTATAATACGAGTCCGAAACGAACAATATGCTGAATTCGAGATAAATCTGCATTTTATGAGGCGTATGTTTTTAAAGCTCCAGTGTCTAGATTTGCTGCAATATTACGGTCCGATGGACTATAAAATTTACCAACAAAAGATTTCAGATATGCTCGTCTAAAAGTTAATGCGATTCTAATACATTATCGGCGCGAATCAAAGTGTCTCTAGAGCATATTGAAGAGAGCTAATCAGAATCAAAATAACAATACAAACAGGACATATATAAACAACATTTGCTTGGTTTCCATGAGATGAAGTCGATTCTGTTGATTGTCTTCTGTTGGAATAAAAGATAATTGGTTGATGTACTATAATAGCGTTAAATAATAGTTAATATTTATATATTTTTCAGATATTTGGTTTATTTCTTGCCTACGAAACTAGATCAATGAAAGTGAAGCAAATAAACGATTCAAGGTACGTCGGTATGAGTATCTACAATGTTGTGATACTGTGCCTGATAACAGCTCCCGTAACCATGGTGATTGCAAGTCAACAGGACGCCAGTTATGCCTTCGTGGCCCTAGCTATAGTTTTTTGCTGTTTTCTCAGCATGGCTCTCATCTTCGTGCCTAAGGTTAGTACTATTTTTGATAATAATTATGATTAAATTATATTTTAATTGGTAATTTATTTCTTATTAATGTAATTATGTTTTAAAACGTTTTTTATGTATCCAGAATGTCCAACAAAATAACAAACTCAATCTGAAGTGGGTGAAGTGTTTTAAAAGTTTTATAAATAATTAAAATTTAAATACACAAAAAAACAATTCTAATTTTCTATTTTATCTTCTTTTCTATGTGACCTGTTCCTCTTTATCTCTTTTATTGCTCATCTAACTGCTCATTGTGAAATTTCCCTTTTTTGTAGAGTTCGAATCTGTTCTGCCTTTGTATTTCTACCTTTGTTTGATTCTCTGCTATTTTGCTCTTTTCTTTTGAAAATAAAAAGTATCGTTGTACCTTTTTTATACTTTTTCTTTACGGTATGTTTGTCTGATAGAATTTTCTTTATTACATACAGGGTATCCCAAAATCATACCGACAAACTTTAAGAGATGTTGTTGGCCGGACCGTACAAACTGGCAACGCTGGTATTATTCATTTCCTGATAAATTTCTACAGTTTTTACATGCATTTGTGCTAAACGTATTAGGAAGAATTCGATTACCGATATTACTGGTATTGCCGATATTGCCGATATTGCCGATAATTCCGATACTACCGATACTATACGAACACTCAAAATTATTATTTAACTTATTTACTTATTCCTTTAGTTAAATATTAATATAAAGTTTTTGTGTCGCCTATAAAATTGATATTTATGAACATGTTCTCATTTTGCGATTAGCGATTAAACTATGTATATTTTTAAAATGATAAATGTCTTTAAAAAAGAGCCAGACCCATTATGATATCTGAGAGTTTGCTTCTCACCTAATTAATCAACAACCCTGAATGAATGAAGCTCCTTCAAAACTTTGTATTTCTTTGTGAAATCGAATACCTTTATTAAATAATTAAAGGAAAATCCATAACGAAGAATATTCAATTAGAATAAAAGGGGTCCATTTTGTCATAAAAAAGATTTGAGCACTCTCGTTTTTACATTGAATTTCACTTCGGTGAATTATTTCTTAATTTTGCTTTGATTTGCAGTCTTAGAAATAATGCAAAGAAAAAAACTTATTAATCGTATTCCAAAATGTACCTACCACTTTAGATATTAATTATTTAAATCAATTTCTTAAATAATTTAAAAGAGCTGCCAACCTTTTAGATTGAATGCTTAATAAGTATTGAAATAACCTGTATCAATCAACTGTTGCAGGTAATTGAGGTAATTAGACATCCAAAAGATAAGGCTGAAAGTAAATACAACCCAGACCCGGGTCTCTCCAAAGAGGAGGAGGAGAGATACCAAAAATTACTCAGCGAAAATGAAGACTTACAACGACTTATAGCGCAGGTAAGCATTCATTTACTTAAGGCTTGATACATCTGTTATTCGGTAATTAAAAAATTCTAATTTAAGTAACAATATATATGAATCTTTAGAATATATATTTACCGAAGGAAACCTTCAGGGATTACATAAAAAATAATTTTAACACACCCTGTATTTCAATGCCCTGTTTTTCTTGCTCACATTAAGATAAATATGTTCTGGTAGTCTAAATAAAAGCTTAAACGTGACAAAATTTCGAAATTAAAAACCAATTGGACAACTGAAATATTTACAATTATTAAGATATTAAAATCTAATGTTAATTATTAAAAAGTTAATTTTTTTTGTTTTTTTTGTTTTTGGATATTGATCCTTTAGCCACACACAACATTTTAATGTTTAATTAAATAATTAACCTAATTAAATGGAAATTTTATTTATTGAGATAAATTCTACTATTAAGTTGTAAATTTGTTTATTCTCCGTTGCCAGTAAAACTTGAATGTTGGTGGGAAATTGTAAATTTAACTTATTTAGTTTGTCCATGAAGTTAGTAGTTCCTGGATTTATTTTACAATTAAAAAACAGGTGATTCAAATCAGCAATTTCATTAATGATATTAGTTAATGATATTGAAGATGGTATTTATGAAGATGAGCTACAATTATCTAAGTTATAATATCCATAATATTGATTTTATTAATTAAGTATCGTTTGTCATCATATAGCGATAAGGGTGTTTTCTTCTGTTCAACTGTATATAAATTGAGATTCTTAGAAATGATTCCAAAGATTATTTCATGTGTTGTTTTAGTATTTAACAAACAATTATTATACATGTCAAATTTCATTTTCTCGATATTACATTTTTTTATACCTTTACATATCTTTTTTCTTTTAAATCATTTCTAAACGCATACATTTTTGATCTTAAACCAACCCATTCTCTTATTGGAATTCCTAAGTATTCATCTTTAAATAAGCCTGGAACTTTCTTATTTTTTTGAGGCATCTAATGTACAAATATTTTATATTTTCTTTCATGTATTCATAAACATCATCTGTTTCAACATAAATAATTAAAGAATCTGTGTCTGTTCCTAGCAACTTAATTTTGTTATTGTATTTAGTTGCAAGTAGTTGTAATAAAATTTATACATTAATAATTTTGATAGTTCTAATACGACGAAACCACCATAGACTGGTTTATTAAGTTTTATTTTAATTTTTCATCGATATAAATGAACATTATCTTCATCAATTATTGTTCTGGTTTCGTATTCTTTATGTTTATCGAAACTAGGTAGTGTTCTGATTAATTTCACGTAACATCTTGATCTTACGTTTTCCATTTGTTTTCCATATACTGCATTATTCATTAGTTTGTAAAAAAAATTTTCAAAATCATTTAGAGCTTCTTTTCTTAATTCTGTATTTTTATCTATGTAGGGTTTAAAGTAATTTTTAACTTCGTTTAAAATGATTTCTTGTCTTTAACATTCTGAAATCGATAACATAATCTTTCTTTAATTTTAGGGTGTTTATTAATTTTATATTTTTAGGTTTCGTTCCAATATTATTATGAATCATTTCTTTTTGATATGTTTATAACTCATCATAATCAAGTACGTAATGTTCTGGAAGTAATGGATAGTCTTTAAATTTATCATGTAGTTCTTTGGGAACTTCTTAATCTACAATAAATTTATATCCATATGTATCATTATCTTTAAATTTTAAAATCTTTTCTGACGTATAGTCGCTAGGTTTCATTTTTAAACTTTTGAGTTCTGGATAAGTTTTTATTTCATCTTCTATCTCATTGTATCCAACAAATTTTCCGATTGATAATGGTTGTGATAACACATTTCTATATAAATTATTTGCGTCTAAATACATAATATAAGTAATATGTTTTTTACTATTATATATTCCTTTTTCCTCAGCTTTTTTTACTTAGTTTGATTGTCTTACCTTGTCTTTCGTAATAGAAATAGCAATTATTTGCTATAGCATGTCTATTTGGAATCATTGATTCTAATGTTTGACCTGTTTCTTTTAATGATGCTGCATCTGCTAAATTGGGAGCTGAAATATAGTAAACAGGATTTAATTTATAATTTTTATAACATGTTTCTCTAAAGTTGTCAAACACATCTTTTAATAAAACCTAACTTTAAATATAGATCATGATAATCACCAAAATTTTTACATTCCAAATGATTATAAACTTCTTTAGCAAAGTTAAGGTCTGCACCCTTTATATGTTCATCATAGAATTTTTGATAATTATCAACCCACTCGTATGGATAAACACCTTTTCTTAAAACCATATGGAGGTCCTCCTTATTAAATTCTTTTATATTTTTAAATTTAGTGTACTCAACTGGTTTACTTACTAAATTATCACATTTTTTTACAGTTGGCTATTAATTTTAAAACATTATTTTCTTTAATGGGTAGAAATTTAACATTTATTATTTCTTGTTTAGAATTACATTTAGCACAATAACAATTATTAACATCAGCTAAATTGTTCATTGCTTTGTCAAGACTTGTACTTGTGTCTTGGGTCTATAAATTTGAATTCCATTTTTACATTTTGAATTTCCCGTTTGATAATCATTTTATTTCCACAGGTATCAGATTTTTCGATAATTTTGTATATTGTTTTTTTTTATTGCATTTCTTACATTGAGAACAGTCATAGCCTTGTTCATATTTATCAATAATTACTTTCTTTGAGAATGTGATGTGTGTCTTTCAGAAAGAAGAAAAAATAAAAGTTCTCAAAGAACGGATAGCCGAGAAGGAAATGGGCAGCAAAGGAGGACTGACGACGCCATCTACTATCACTCAAGGTAAGGACTGCCTCATTGTAGCAGATTTCATCACGGACGCGGGAACTTCCGATTCGGCGTTTGGCGCAGGGCACTCGGTGTACACCAGATCGTCGAGGTGCAGTCAGTCAGATATCGAATTCAGCGAAAGTTACTTGTAGCTCTAAATCTAAACAAATTCAATTTAAGGTACTTACGAATAGACGGACGTCTATATGCATAGAACCCTTGTTGCATGATAACCACCCCCTTTTTATTATAATTATTACACAATTTGACATCGCCGAATAAATTTTGAAATATGGCAACGTGGCTCTGAGCATAGTTCACGTTTCAGTACTAAAAGCGGGTTGTATCGTAGATGGTTATTTCACAATTTGTCAATACTAGGTTAAGTTCAGACAAACAAGTTCAATTTACTCCTTTGACTCTTTTGACTCCAACCAACCCTTTTAGCGTTCGGTTTGTTCCGATTATTAACAGTTACACGCTTAAAAACAACTAAAAAACACTCCTGCTCCGTTCCAGCGCCTGGCTAATCCCATCTTTACTACTTTATCTTCTAATCATTCGATTTTAGCTGGTTGTGGAAGGATTCAACTATAGAACGTTCATTATATTAGTGTTTTAGGGATATTTTATAACGAGCCATTGACAGAAATCACAATTTGAGTTGGCTGTTAAATTTAATGTTTTGGGTAGATGACACTTTCACAGAATGACATTATTAACTTGACATTTTCATTGTAAACAAATTTTTTTAACTCGAAATGATACTGCAACAAAAAAGAAGTAAATAATTCATTTAATATCGAAATTATAACCAAGATTTACATGATGGAACTACAGAAATTGTTAAAAATGTTGTTTATTTACGTCTAAATACAACTCTTTTTCTCGATCCAGCAAAAAACGTTATGTAACATGTTCAGTGAATTGTTGATCTCCTCACTTGTTCTGTTATGCGATTTTATTTTTTGTTTTTTGTTTTTTTTTTTGTTTCCATGTTCTATCAAATACTGAGTAATATATTAGTCTGTTTTTCGTACCAGGTCTTCTGGGCTCGTCTGACTATGTCTCCGAATAACACTGAAGCCTATTGGCTTATTGTGTTTAACCACATGTTAGTTCATAGCACCCACTCTGTCACCTTTGTACCTTGTACAAGTTTGTACAGATTCTTGGGTCAGTGGGTTCTATACGTTGTGTTCTCCACCAGGGCCTTATTTGATTGATTATCTTTTTTGTTTATCTTTTCTTATTGTCTAAACTGTTCCATTTATATAATGGAATGTCAAAATTGTCAGAAAGTGCTGTAACTTACTGAAAAAAAAAACAATGTAAACCAGAATATAAAAATTAATCGCTGGTTACAAAACCTGTTGGTTATTACCAACTGCGATACAACTCGCTCTAAGAGGGCGTTATTTATGAAACTGTTTCTATTTTTTTTTAATTTTCACCAGAAATTAATATCTTTTGGTTGGTATTCACCAGATTAAAGTACTATATTAAATTTATTCAAATCTGGCAACGTCCATGATGTAAGGTGTAGCATGAGCTTCTAGAATTGAAATAATTAGACATGAATGCATTATTCATGTTAAATTTGAAATTGTTGTCCTCAGATCCCTCTTGTGGATGATCGTCATCTCAATAGGTGTCAAACTTTCGTAATTATTAGAATTTATAGTTAAAGATAAACATACCATAAACATACAATTTTTTCCATAACTTTTGTTTTTTAGATATTTTTTTAACCTGTTAATAATGTCCTTTTCATCGTCCTTTCCCTATATATTTTCTATTCATCCTTTTCTCCTCTTCCGTCCTAGTTTACTATATGGTATTTCTCTCTGAATCCCATCTGTTAGTATTCTCAAAATAAGTAATCTCCATGGTATTCTTTGAACTTTGTTGACCCCCGATATATTTGAGTCTTCATATAGCTTTCTAATTCGTTATTTGCTCTTTTCTCCTAACTTTTTTTTCCAACTTTTTTTTTTCAAAGACTCCTATATTTTTGGTTTTATTTATCTCTTATTATTTAAGAAAACATAACCTCATTAATTTGAAATTTACTTATCACAATAATGACTCGCAGTGTGTTTAAAAAATAACGATATACTATACGTTTCTATCTTCAAGTTGACAACACTTTGAAAAAATTTCATATAATTAAAATCTGAATTAAACCAAATTCAATTAATGTAATTGAGTAACATTCAATTTAATTAGCTACTACTGCGCATATACAGAAATTCTATACCTTGCTATATACATTATGGATTTTATATAATTACAAATAACGCCCTCTAGTACTGATTATAGTTTTATAAAAATAAAAAATATATTTTAAAAAATGCAAGTAATTCAATGAAAAACTTGTTAATTAATATAACCAAATGATTAATTTCGTATAGATTTCTACGGTAACGTTGATAAAATATTTTTATATAAAATTCGTTACTTGCTTTTGTTGATGTTAAAAAATATTCTATGTATAAAATTTATTGCTAGCACGTAAAAATATAACAATGATATTTATCGATGTTTATTGATAGTTTTGAAAAGTCAATCTTTAGTCGACACATCGCACAAAATATTTTAAAATTTTTAAAATTTTATATAATATAAAAAAATATATATAATTATTATTCACACACTTTTCGAACTATAGTAATGTTATTTTTTTTTTCAATTATGTTGTTCTTTCACATGAACCACACCTTTTTTTTAATTTTGTGACTCCTCAAAACTTAGCACCCCTCTCTGATGTCAATTAGGATGCATGCTTTTGATCTTTCAACCCTCCACCTAAATGCCTTTGATGGTAGATAATTCTAGTGTTTTTAACCAAATGGAAAAGTACTTTGACATCTTTCAGAAATGAATATGAGTATATAATGGGAAACCTATAGGCTTTTTAATACAAAAACTTATAAAAGTCATTGAATATTTATGCAGTCACGACCATCAGTTTTTACCAAATACAGATTTGAACAAAAAATCCCAAATAGTCACAGGAAATACAACTGTAGAAAATTATCACAAAAGCCTCCGTATATTGGAGATGAATGAAACACTTTCTTCGCTAAAACTGGTCAAGAATTAGCATTTTTAATTGTCATCTGTCACATGTCATCTACCAACAATGTTGCTTACCTAACATAACTTAAAATCGAATTAATAATAACGGAGATATAAGCTTGATATATAAGCTTAGTTGCAATCGGTTTCTAGTTGTAGATGACAGTTCACGTTGAAGAATGTACCTGAATAAATCGAACAAATAATAATGGAGACATAGGTTTGTCGTTGCCCAATTGAAATCAAACTAATAAAAGAGTTTACAACAATAATGGCAGATGGTGCGTCTGTTGGACAGACGTGACTTTTACGTGGTTGTGGATGGCAGCTGATGTCATAGCGCAAGCGCAGTGACGATAATATGACGTACAGTAGTTTTTTTATTAAGAAGCCTATATTTTTAGATACAATATTAACCATTTAAATCTTGAAGACTATATAACTGCTCAATTATTTTCATAAATAAAATAATTACCTCAAACGGAAACTTGTTTCGGCTTTAGAACCATCATCAGGTCCAAACTCATTGTACAACTTTTCCTTTCGATGTGGTACAGATTTTGATTTAATTTTTAATTTAGTATAATATTGTTTATCTCGTGTCGATTTTTTAAAAATATTCCATACCTTGTCTCAATCTTTCAATAGTATTCTTCTATTTCTTATTTTAATCAATTATCATACTTTTTATGAGACTGCAACGTTTCCATCTGGTACAAACACTATTCTATTAACGTTAGTACAACTTGTAAATATCCCCAAATCAATGTAAATATATAAATTTAATATCTTCCATTTTTTTATTGAGCAATTTATTTTTTTGTCGCCTCTAAAGACTATTATTAAAGTAAAACTATACATATTGCTGGAAAATTAAATAAATTAAATATTGATTTTGTGTTACTGTCAATTTAATATGTAATAGGGCATCTGTTCAACTGTTCTTACCATATTTCTTTATTCCTATCTATTTATAAAATTTAAGCCTTTTCTGACAATGTCATATTTTTATTTCGTTTATATTTCATTTTAATATAATTTAAAAATTTTAGAATACATTTTATATTCTTGTAGAGTACAGAATGTTAAATTGACAAAAGTTACATTCTTATGTATTTGAGGAATTTTTACTACGAGAAATATACCTTACAATAAGTTTAATAGAAACATAGGAACATAGAACATAGGAACACAATAGACAAAAAACGCTCTCAGGTTGCCCAGTCTCTCTCTGATATGTACATGTTCCTATTATATCCTGTTCAATTCATTGCAGTGTAAGGTATATATCATCTGTTTTAAAATTCCATACCTACATATAATTTTTTTCATTGTTAGACATAACGTATATATTATATGGAAGAAAAAAATATAACCAATATTGACAATCATTTTGATAGACCAAATTAATATTGTCCACAAACTTTTCCCAAAGATGATAAAAATAAACAATATCTATGAGCTTCGTAGTTATATACATTCAAGTTTCAAAAATATTGTATGCTGGACGAGATTTTTTAAACGACAAACTAATAATTTAATTTCTTACTATTTTTTAAATCTGATTTTGAAGAAAAAGATGACATGTAGGGTAAAACGTTGGAGAATCTAAGAAATTATAACCTTTCAAAATAAGTTAAATACAATTTTCGGAAATTTTACATAATTCTTTATGTTAATTTAAAATATGTCGTTGAGAATACTCTCCTATGTTTGAATTATCTAAAAACACTTTTAGAATTCCATATCTGAACGACAAATTTTTTCGAAAAATTGAATTTTATAAACAAATATTTAGTTTCTTACTATTTTTTGAACTCTTAATGATATTGAGGGAACGAATGACATGTTGGCTAAAACGTTGAAGAATGTGGAAAATTAAAACCTTTCAAAATGAGTTTAGAGAAAAGTTTCATATAATTTTCGTAAATTTTAAACGATTATTTTTGGTAATTTAAAATCTATAATTGAGAATACTCTTCTATGGGTAAATTACTAATAACACCTCTATCTGAACGACAAAGTAAATTTTGCAAAATTTTACGAAAAATTGAATTTTATAGACAAATAATTTAGTTTCTTAATATTTTTTAACTCTAAATAATATTGAGGAAACGAATGACATGTAGGGTAAAATGTTGGAAAATGTGGGAAATTAAAACCTTTCAAAATGATTTTACAGATAAGTCTCATATAATTTTCGTAAATTTTAAATTATTTTTTTTTGTAATTTAAAATCTATAATTGAGAATACTCTTCTATGGTTAAATTACTAATAACACATATCTGAACGACAAAGTGAATTTTGCAAAATTTTACGAAAAATGGAATTACATAAATAAATAATTAAGTTTCTTACTATTGTGTAACTGTAAATGATATTAAGGGCACGAATGACATATAGGGTAAAACATTAGAGAATGTGAAAAATGATATTAAATAAATTAAATTCTACATGATTCTTTTTGATAATTTAAAATATCTCGTTCAGAATACTCTCCTATGTTTGAATTACTAATATACACCTCCAGAATTCCATATCTGAACTGATTGTACCTTCAAAAACAGCTTTATCTTAATTTAATGTAGTTTGTAGATTATTAGATTAGCTATCGTCTAGTTTATGTAGCCTAATCTCGTTATAACATCAACATACAAAAGAAAAATATCTGTTTCTCCCAAAATTTCCGTTCGTTCAATTCAAATAGATAGTCGAGTGGTTACAATTTTGCTAAAGAAGAATGAATAAGTAAACAAATTTTTTAAAAGGAACTAAAAACAATGTTATAACAGTTCGAAGAATAGAAAGCTTGTCTGACTGCCACTAAAAATGTATGTTTGAATTCTACTAAAGATCTCCTATTCGTGGATATCAGCACAAGCTATCAATAATTGATGTATTTATTTTTTATAATGACAACTACTACGTTTCATCAATTATTTGCGAAATGTAACTGCTACTTCTATAAAATCCCTATAGCATCTATATGGAGAGTCTTATAAAGGCGACGGTGATCAATTTTTTAGTCTCAAATAAAACTTATACTTTCCAGCTTGTTGTGACCTTTATAAATCCAATATAGACTTTATTACGGTAACGAAAACTTTTTCATTACCTTTAAAAAACCGAGATTTTTTTTATAAACTCATTATAAAACTTCGCTACCTTCACTGTTTGCGCATGAAATACCTAGCGTCTAATGTTCTTTAACACTGACATAAGTTTCTTCTTAGCAATAAAACCAAAGGTGCTTTCTTGACATGGGGTTGTATAAGATACCCACTAAAATCCTATTTATAGCCACTTTTGTGGAATAAAACTATAAGCAACCACTAAATCAATAGAAAATTGAAAAAATGTAGTGCGCAAATTTCAAATGTCAACACAACATAACATAACCTAGCTTTATAGAGTGTTTTGCTTATTCGTTTTTAGTTTTCTTTTTCTTAAATATATAACAAGTGACTTTATTACAATGTGACCTGTAACAGCGAAAAACACAAAATAATAATGTATTTCGTTTCTATTTTCATTATTCCTATCAAAAATATTTTCCAATATATTATTTTGAAAATGAATACCTAACTTTTGAATAATATTGTCACTACTATATTTAACTTTTGTCAATTTTCATTACTTGGTAACATTTTACTGAATATTTATTGGAAAACAATCGAACAACATAACCTCAAAATCATAACCTTTTATCTTTAACTCATAGGCATCAGTGGGTATATAAGTTTTATAATATTTCTCACGGAATATTTATTAGGCGGATCAACATTTTATAAAATTAAAAGTGTTATAATGAGATTTTCAAGAATGATATATAAAACCTTCTTATAAAACTTTTAAGTAATCAACACTAAGGGATTTATAGATGCAGTAACTGAAACGTTTTAGATGCAATGTTATAAATCTTAAAAGTATTTTGGTATTTAACGGGTACTGTACTTGTGCTCTATTGGATAGTGGATCACAATCTAGTTTTATTTCAAAATATCTTTCTGATAAAGAACATTTAAAAATATGACAACCGGTTTCGGTTTTAGTCCATTATCAGGTCTGCAAAATATAGTTATGGTTTTAAGATTTTTCTTGTTTTCCTTTATATAAATATTTGTTTATTATGTTTTTATTCATTTTAATTTAGCTGTTTAACCACATAACACTTAAAAACACACAAACATTAGTTATGTTCTTGTTGTAACGAGATATTATTCTGTTTTTTTATTAGAATAGACTTTTGGGAGTGAGATGTTTTTCTTTTTGACAGATACGAATGACGAAAGAATTTAGTCCTCGAGAAGATACTCAAATGGATAGTTTGGTAGGTGTTTCATCGAACAAACGGAGTTTCATAAAATTCTTTGTTATCACAATATCGCGTTCAACATCGAAATTCATACATTTATTCACTGGCCGCAATTTTATGAAACTCTGTACGTTTCACGCAAAAATTGTTTTTATTTTTAGTTTAATTATAAAAAGACAATATAAAATGATATAGTGTAATGAAAAATGTGTAAACCCTCGTTTCTGCAAAATATTAGAACGGCCAGAAGTTATCTTGAATGTATTTTCTATTTCTATTTGAAAGACCATCTGGAACTGATGATATATTATGGTTGATGGTTTATTTAATACAAAATAAATATTTGAAACAGTGAAATCATTTTCATCTCCGAAGAAATCCTAAAAACGTGTAAATATACATTTCTGAGTACGAAAGTAGGAAGAAAAAAGAAGAATATCGATTACTATGGTTCCACTGTGCTGAATTTAATAATTTTTAAACAAATTTTTTTGTAAAATTCTATTCTAAAGAGCTAGTAATTAACAATTTAAATTAATTGAGAAACAATTTGAAACAAAATTTTTGTTGAGTTCCATTTTTGAGCTTCTTTAGAGTCAAATAGTCATGCTGATTTCAAAAATAAAGTAAGTTTTCTTAGCAAACACAAAATAACTGTTGGAGAGCATCAAAAAGATGTCTATAATGTCATAATTTTTTTGGTCCTGAGTACTGACATTACCTATCTGTCAAAGTTTTTTTTACTAATAAGTTAAATAATAATCTTTAAGCTGTTTTGGCCGTTCTATGATTTTGCGGTAACCAATAAACTAGGTAACTCATTTTGCTGTGAAAAAAAAAAAATTGGTTGAGAAAAAATTCTGTATCGATTTCGATCAGGATTAGTTTTAAGTCAATTCGTAACTATTTAGTCAGGGACTCTTTTGTCGTTGTTGTATAAATTTTAAAAAATGTTTTTATTAAATAGGATGGAACGAATTTATTTTTTCGGAAAAGTTAATAGTATAAATTTAAATAGTTTTGTATATAGGTGCTTTAAAGTATGAGGAAGGATTTGCTCGAGTAAATGTACATAGTCTTGAGGATGTGGTCGAATTTTTTTTCGGTCTTTACAAAGGCATTAAATATATTTAAATCTAATAACTTCAATATAAAGAACCTCAGAAGCGTCTTGTAAGTATTTAAGTTGTATCAACCACTATTAGTGATTGAGTCTTAAGTGAAATATAATTAATTTCTTAACATTTATTTTTATGAAACTACGAAACATTAAAAAAATTTAACAGGTTGTAGGTCACCTCAAATGTCCATTGAGACGGGGAATATCCGAACGAAAATAAGCCTAGATGGTCGAAATTCCTACAGACACAAAATATTGATAAACATTTCAGAATTCGAGAAAATTAATAAACTTTCTTTATACACTATTTTTTGATATCTAAATGATATTGAGGGAACGAATGACATGTAGGGTAAAACTTTGGAGAATATGGGAAATTATAACCCTTCAAAATGATTTTACAGTAAAGTTTCTTTTGGTAATTTAAAATTTTTAATTGAGAATATATTTCTCTGTTTGAGAATAAACACCTCTAGAATTCCATATTTGAACGACAAAGGGAATTTTGTAAAATTTTAGGAAAAATGGAATTTTATAAACAAATATTTAGTTTCTTACTATTTTTTTAACTTTAAATGATATTAAAGGAACGAATGACATGTAGGGTAAAATTTTGGAAAATGTGGGAAAGTAAAACCTTTTAAAATTATTTTATAGAAAAGTTTAAATAATTTTTGTAAATTTTTGGTAATTTAAAATCTTTAATTAAAAATACTCTTCTATGTTTAAATTATCACTAAACACCTCTAGAATTCCATATCTGAACATTTTACGAAAAATGGATAAATAATTTAGTTTCTTACTATTTATAACATTTTAAAATTTAGTATAAAATTAAGTGAAATATAATTAATTTCTTAACATTTATTTTTATGAAACTACAGAAACATTAAAAAAATGTAAAAGGTAATTATCTTCAGCGTCCATTGAGAGGGGGAATATCCGGACTAAAATAAGCCTGGATAGTCGAAATTCCTACAGACTCACAAAATATTGATAAACATTTTAGAATTCGAGAAAATTAATAAAATTTCTTAGTTAATATAAAAAAAAAACTGAAATTAATTAATAGAGGGTATAATAAGAAGCAGAAGAGCAAATAAATGAAGATAAATTATAAGACAATTGAGATAAGGATAAAAATAGTAAAACTAGGAAGATGAGAATACAAAAAAATAAGGGGGAGAACGGGCGGTAAATAAAGAGGTAAATAAAGCGGTAGATACAGTGGTAGATAAAGAGGTAGGTAAAAGGTAGATAAAGAGGTAGATAAAGAAGTAGATAAAGATGTAGATAAAGAGGTAGAAGTAGATAAAGAGGTAAAGATAGATAAAGAGGTAGATAAAGAGAAAGAAGATGAAATTAAAAAAAATTAAAGATGAATTAAATGTATAATTTTTTAGTTTTAACTTTGTTATAACATTTAATGTAAATATTTCAAATTTGTTTGAAATTATTCGTTATATTTTATGACAATAAGACTTAGTCCATTGACTTGATGTACGCAACAGGTTGGGACATTTCTTGACGCCTTAAATATCAAATTTCGTGCCTTTTTTCGAAAATAAATTCGACCGACGACCCCAGGACTCGAATGGATTTAAATAAATTTTTGAAAACGAGATATAGGTACCTTTATTTCATAACTCTCGACGAAAGTCTGATTTGTAATATATCTAATACGTTAATGTGATAGAAGGGTTTCTATAATATATGTTATGCAATGAAATATGATGAAGTAAAAAGTCTAGCTTCGGTCAATTTTTCGTTTAGGTGTTAATGTTATCGTGAAAGAAATCGATCAATGTTTACTCTTGTTAATGAAACTATTAAAACTCGATTTAGTTGTTTAAAGTTGTTCTATTTAAATTAAAAAGAATACATCTTGAAATGTATTCTATACTAAATATATAACATATCACAATAATAATTAGCACAAATTAAATGGAATTTTTTTTTAATAATTTAAAATCTTGAATGATTTCTTTCACCCCCCAATCCCAAGTATTTGCTCATTTTCATCTCTAGATATTACCATTCAGAGAATTGTGTTATATACAAAATAAAATGGCCGCTGGTTTCAAAATATTTTGTATGAAGCTGATTTTTTCATATCCATTTATCCAGTTTTAAAGAAATGTCCGAAAAATACCGATTTTTAATTATAATTTGCCACATTTTAAAAAAACATGAACATTTTTAGTAACGACGCCGAGAAAAAAAGAAAATGTACCTAGTGCAACTGGGATTCTGACGGAAAGTAACAATATTTCTAACTGTACTTTTCGCAAAAGTATAAAACGTAAAAGTCATGTTTGTTCAGATGCTCAAAAGATGACAGTAACTTATTGATAATAATTGCTGTTCAAGTGATAACTTAAGTAAAATCAATACTTCTCAAGAAACTTCTTTGACAAGCCTTATTAGTGCCCCTAAAGTTCTTTTGTAAACATTGTTTGTCATTTTAAGATTCTGTAACGGAATTAAACATTAAGCCGGATAAAACTGTATTTGAATTGGGTTATGCTACTTTGAAACAAGAAACCATTGTTCACTCTTTATTTGGTGGTATCCAGACCGAGAAAACCACAATTCTTACAGGATATATTTAAGAAAAGTAGATAAAACATTTTCAAACGAAGATATGCGGAGAACTACAATCAGTAAGCCGTGGTCAATTGGAAGCTGAATAGGTAAAGTTGTAACAGACCAAGAAGTTTTAATTGGTGCAGACTTGGCTGGTAGGTTTTGATTGGTAAAGTTGTACAGTTATCTTATGGTTTGACTGCTGTTGAAACCCATTTAGAATAGACTTCCGCTTTGCGTAAATCGTCTTTCACTTCCTTCAGTTCTAATATTGTTCTAACATTCCAGATACTTATTCTTAATTTACTTCTTCATTTTCTTTTTTTTTTATTCTTATTTTCTCTAACTTTTTTCTTTTAGCATCAGAATCGGAAGTAGAAATTCTTGACAAGGAGACTGCATTAATTGTTTCTTCAATGTTCGCTCATGAGTTTACCATAAAAGACCTATAAGAAGTAGACGTCTAGGTATGAGGGTTCTCTTTGACTCGGGGTCCAAAGAAGAATTGTCTCAAGCAGCTATGCAGCATTTTAGGCAAACTCTTTCCAAAGAGTTAGATGGTAGATGTCCGCTTAGCTGTCCGTTGTCGTCTGTTTTTTGTGTATAGTGCTACTTGCTTTATATGATCTTTGTCTATTTTTCCATTAAAATCTCCAAGCACTATCATTATATCTTCCTTTGGAATTATTTTTATTTATTCTTCTACTTTATCGTATATATTAAGCAGTGATATATTGAATGGTTTTGCTTTTACCCGTAGATAGGCTATCCTTTCATTTATTGGCTTAAATTATATTGTTTTGTCTTATAAATCGCCTAGCAACATAAATACCACCCCAAACTGTTCCTGTTTTTCGTGTCCAGAATAATGTAACGTAAATCCTATTTTCTCAATTGTTCCTTTGCCTTCTCATCTTATTTCTTAAATTGATGCAACATTTATGCCATATCTTTTGAGTTCTTTTCGTACTACTTGCATTTTTCCAGGTTCTATCATTGTTTTAACATACCAGGTACTTATTCCCAATTCAGTTCTGCATTTTCATTTTTCTTTTGTCTCTCTTTCAGCATTTTCTGCTTTATTTTCATGAGTCTTTGTTTCTGTTTCTTGTCCAGTTCTTTGTCAAGTCGTTTTTACCATTTTTTGTCCTTTCCCTATATTGTCTGCTAGTTTTTTGAAATATCCTCATTATTTCCTGTTTTTTTTTTGTCATACTATTAGGAAGTTAAAATTGGAAGAGCGGATGTCTGAGTACGAAAATATCTTTAACGATTGGATTTGTGAAGGCATCATTGATGTCATAGGTGTCATTATTTACCTCATAGGAAGATAGCAGGACTAGAGTTAGACCAGTCTTTAATGCGTCATCACATGATAAACAGTCTCTATCTCATGATTTTTTGGAATAGAGCTTCAATTTGATTGGGCAAATTTATCTGATTTTGTTAAAGTTTAGATTGAAACCACTAGTTGTTACTGCTGATATTAAAAAGGCATTTCTTCAAATAGGGTCAAATCCTAGAGATGGAGATACAAAATTTTTATGGAGAAAAAAGTTTTTAGGCACTGTAGAGTCGTTTTCGGGGTTATGAGCAGTCCTTTTTTTCTGGTAGCTGTAATGCAATTTCATTTGGATCAAGTATTACGAATGTTCTAAAAACTGAATGGGCAATGTTAGCAACATCAATAAGCAACAACAGGGTAGTTTCTAAGTTGACAATTGTGTAACTAGTGTAGAAAATGAAACATATCTTTTTCAGTTTATGACAGATGCTAATTTGATTTATTAGGTTGGGAAAATACTAATTACTTGGTTTAGCATGGGATAGAAGAGAAGAATCTTTGTTTATTTCTCCTGTTAGTTGGAAAAACGTGAGAAAATTAATAAAAGAACTTTCTATGGCTCATAGCGTATCCGACCCAATAGGTTTTATTTGTGCTGTAACGTAGTGTCCTAAATTACTTTTGCAACGAACCTGGCAAAATAATTTAGGATGGGAAGATGAGTTAAGTCTGTATTTTTGGAATTGGTAGAAGGTCTTTTATTTTTGACCCATTTAAAGATTCCTGGATATGTTTCTATCTTTGGTAGTGGCAAATGGCTTGATGTTCGGATACATACATTTTGTGATGCCTGTCAGACTCCTTATGCTTCTGCTGCTTCTTCTGTTAAGATACTAAGTGAGTCAGGTATGTTCAATTAATTCGTGCAAAAGCTAGAGACGCATCCATTAAGAAGAAGACTTCTTTACTTCGATCAGAATTGATTGCAGCTACTATATGGTCACGTCTTGTTAAATCTATAGAAAATTCTAATGTTTACTACAAAGCTATTTTCTTCTTTTAGTCTGGATAAATAGAAATTAACAATGGTCATCTTTGTTAGAAATGGAGTAGCAGAAACCTTAAAACTCCCTGTGAAATAGGAATGGTCCTTGGTTCCTGGTTCAATGAATCCCACAGACCTGCTTTGATGGCAGCAATGAAATTATTAAATTCTAGGAGGTAGGAGGGACTTATAATGGTTAAAATATTCGCCTTATTTATAGTTTTTAGAAATATTTTAATATATTTTTGAATTTAGCTTTTACTGGTGATTCAAAAAATTGAATAGTATATGGTGTCTCATTTAAAAAACTCGTTACATGTTTATCATCTTGTCTTATAACTTTTGTTTAAAATGTGGCAAAATGTAATTAAATTGCGACCTGTTTATACCTAAATAGGTATATGGATGCAGTTTTATAGTTCATATTTTTATTAAGGTATATATTAACTAAAAATTTTGTTGGTAACAGATGTCTGTTTTTACAGCTTATAGAACAAAACAAAGTACTTTTTTACTGCCTGTATACTGCAAAATAACAAGCACCGTGAAATACTTGATAAATTCTTTAAACTTTTAAATGTTTTTCCATAATTTACAATTAAAATTAAGTATAACAACAATTAAGTAAAATTTGGCAAAATATTGATTTTCCGAGTAATTTTACTTGACGTAAAGACATCTGGTTACAATCTGCATAATTTTTCAAACCCATTTGGACCCGGCGGCCATTTTGCAGTCAAGAAGGTGACGTAAACCATCTATAGTTAAACAAATTGTTGTGACCCTATTAATGTCTAGCAATATATTATGTGTTAGTTGGTAAAAAACGCTCTAAACACGTTAATTTTTTCCTGATTTTATGGTACTGTTGATAAAAAAAAACCTTCCTAGATTTCCCTAGTAACCTCTGAAATCAATCGGACACTGTTTAGGTTCTAGTAAGATAAGTCACTTTCACACGAAAAAAAACTTAATTTTTACACAGTATTTTAGAGGTTACTAATCGTTTAGTTATGTGAAAGTGAAAATGGCGCACGTTTTGCTTTTGTTTCGTTTGTTATGACGTTAAGGTTTTTATCTTTCCCATAAAAAATTACAACTTTGACAAATGACAGCAAACTTCAAAAGTACATAAAAATTTGGGAAAAATTACCCATAAAAATAAATAATTTGTTACGCAATACATTAAATTTATTGTGGAAGATAAAACCATTTTTTATGCAGATTTAAAATTACAAAAGAGGCGTAAACGAGCGCCATTTTCGTAGGTAAATTCTAATTTCGTCCGAAATAAAGAGGACGAAAAAAAAAAAACAAATGATAACGACGTAAGTGAAGTGGTGATACCTCATTGGGGCTCAAAATGGGGTATGACTGATTAGATTTTGATTGTAAAAAACACTTTATTATTATTATTATTATTACTAGAAAACAAAATAAATTGTTTACTAATATTTAAGTAATTGAATTAAGTATTGACTAGTACCTATACATTGCAGTTTTACTGTCGACATATGTGTTCAAAACCCAATCAGCTACCTAAATCTTATGTCAAATTAAACTTTAATTGTAAATAAAAAAAAGTTGTTTTATTTATTGGAGATCCATAGTTATCCTTCGCCCAAGCAGTTTAATCTGGTTGGAAATAATTGAATCGCTTCATCTTAAACAGGTAAGTCCATGTATTAGCAATTTGAATCCACTCCTTAATTTACGTATGCATAGAATGGAACGTCAGGATCTCAAAAAGATACTCTGTTCCCCTCTAACAAGACTAATTAAAAAGTTGGAGCTCATTTCTTAAAAAGTATCCAACATAGAGAGACGCAGACACCACCAAAGAGATTTTAAATCGTTTACTGTAACGTAGTGCCGAATTTCATGAAGATCAGAGCAGAAATAACATTTTTCTTTACTTACTCGGTTTCCGTTTCAAACTACTAAAAGTTGCGATTTCGTTGACAAAATTTTGGTATCAGGATAGCAGAAGAGCGAGGAGATATTTAAGTTCCTCAATCAAATTACTATAAAATTCAGGGTAACGCAAAATTAAGTTTCTTCATCAAATTGTCATTGCCATTCAGGGTAACGCAAAATCGACGGATATATAAACTTGAATATCTCCTAAACGGCTTAGGATAGAGACGCTCTACAATCAGCACTCTATTATATCCGTTTGGCTCTACGTTTTGAGCATGTTTAGAGAATGATTCGATTATTAATAACTGAGAAAAATAAAAAAAAATAAAACCCTTGTCAATAAGAAGCAACTGAATCCACTCCTTAATTTGCATTGTTCTCTTTGATATGTAGCCAAATTTTCATTGAAATCGGAGACAAAAAATTTTTTTCAAAAAAATTTGGAAGGCTATACCCTTTCCTTTTTTTTGGGATAATAAAAAATTTACGTATGTATAGAATGGACCGTCAGAATCTCAAAAAGATACTCTGTTCCCCTCTAACAAGACTAATTAAAAAGTTGGAGCCCATTTCTTAAAAAGTATCCAACATAGAGAGACGCAGACCACAATATATCCCCTATAGTAGTGCATCTCACTTGTTAAAGAGTTGGCACTAAGTTTGCAGCGCAAGAATGCGTCTGTGTCTGGCCGCTCAACTAACTCGATATGGCGGTAAATTCAAATATAATTTAAAGGCGAAATTTAAATTTCCCGCCAAAATTGTAAATTTTCAGCCGCGGAATGGCGGGAATTTTTAAATATATTCATTCGGCAATAATTATTGAGAAGTATATTACATGTTCGATTAAACGAGCTGTAAATCCAGGCGCTATTTTTATTTTGATAGCTAAAAATAATACTAATTCTTTTATTATTAGCTATTACAATAAAAGCAGCATTTGGATTAACAACACATTTAAAAGAACATGTAATATACTTTTCAATTTTACCTAAATCACTTATTTTTTACCTATAGAGGTTAGATCTGAAAAAAAATTGGCTCTGGTAAAAAAACAAAAAATTGTATAAAGTATTTTATTTGAAAAATTATAAAACTTATTTAATATATTTTAAAGACGAAGATAACTCTAGCCATATCCATTTTACTGAAAAAAAAAAAAGAAACTATTAAATGAAATCATTTAGTTATTAAGAGATGTTTGTGATAATACAGTGGCAGCTTTCGAATGTTGTACAATACGTTTTGCTAATGTCCAAGTAAAAACTACAAAGAGTTAGCATTAGTGGGAGAAGGAATAGAATACTATGAACGTAGCCAGCCGGCTACGTGGGGATGCATCACACCGTGTGCCTGTTCATATTACACAGCACACAAGGCAACATTCATATTATTCGTTTCCTGATCGAACTAATGCGCTAACTCTTTAGTTTTATTTTCGATTCTAGCCAAGCGTATTGGAAAGTGTTCATTAGCCGATACTGTATATAAATGCTAAAATCAATAAGTGAAATAAAAAAATTTAGTTTAAATGGACATCTACTTCGAAAAAAGTAAATTATTATACTTGAATTTTAAAGGCTGTTGCCACTGGAAAACTATTATATAGGGCTTGGATGACAGCCATAGGACTCCCTCCTTGAATCGTGTCCATAGGAAAGCATAAGATCATAGTTAAATTATAATATTAAGAGGGTAGGTATTAACTGAAAAATTATTACAAACTTACCTCAAAATTGGCACCTACATTAAAAGAAGGGAAACCGGAAACATAAAATTGTTATACTTGAATTTTAAAGGCTTTTCCCACTGGAAAAGAATTATCTAGGGCGCAGACCCTTGGATGACAGCCATAGATAGCAATCCCTCCTCGATTCCTCTTTTTCTGAGTTTGTTGTACGTTTTGTTTCCCAAATTAAATAAGAAAGCACTTAATACAACAACACAAATCACAATAAATATCGCTGAAACAAAATTAATATTAAATTTCGTAGAAGAAAAAATCAAAAAATTATCACTTGTCAACACTGACACTTCACGCTTCACTTATAAAAACTCAACGCTAAAGAATGAAAGATGATTCGAAATAGAAATTATTAACTGGTATCTCTTTCTTTTATAAGTATCTAAACAAAGAGAAGGAGTGGGAGTGAGTAACGCTCCGATCAGATTGTTTTGAATTCGTCGTCAACCAATGAACGTGCCGAAGTCAAAAATCAATAACGATACTAGCGCCATGAGACCTGTGTCTGGCCGCAGCGTAACTCAAAGCCATTTCTTGAATCCCAGTTACATTACTATAGGGGATATATTGTGACGCAGACACCAGCAAGACATTTTAAATCGTTTACTGTAACGTAGTGACGTATTTCATGGAGATCGGAGCAGAAATAACATTTTTCCATACTTACTTGGTTTCCGTTTCAAACTACTAAAAGTTGCGATTTCGTTGACAAAATTTTGGTATCAGGATAGCAGAAGAGCGAGGAGATATTTAAGTTCCTCAATCAAATTACTCTAAAATTCAGGGTTACGCAAAATTAGGTTTCTTCATGAAATTGGCATTGCCATTCTGGGTAACGCAAAATTGACGGATATATAAACTTGAATATCTCCTAAACGGCTTAGGATAGAGACGCTCTACAATCAGCACTGTATTATATCCGTTTGGCTCTACGTTTTGAGCATGTTTAGAGAGTGATTCGATTATTAGTAACTGAGAAAAATTAAAAAAAAATAAAACCCTTGTCAATAAGAAGCAACTGAATCCACTCCTTAATTTGCATTGTTTTCTTTGATATGTAGCCAAATTTTCATTGAAATCGGAGACAAAAAAATTTTTTCTCAAAAAATTTGGAAGGCTATACCCTTTCCTTTTTTTTGGGATAATAAAAAATTTACGTATGTATAGAATGGACCGTCAGAATCTCAAAAAGATACTCTGTTCCCCTCTAACAAGACTAATTAAAAAGTTGGAGCCCATTTCTTAAAAAGTATCCAACATAGAGAGACGCAGACACCAGCAAGACATTTTAAATCGTTTACTGTAACGTAGTGACGTATTTCATGGAGATCGGAGCAGAAATAACATTTTTCCATACTTACTTGGTTTCCGTTTCAAACTACTAAAAGTTGCGATTTCGTTGACAAAATTTTGGTATCAGGATAGCAGAAGAGCGAGGAGATATTTAAGTTCCTCAATCAAATTACTATAAAATTCAGGGTAACGCAAAATTAAGTTTCTTCATCAAATTGTCATTGCAATTCAGGGTAACGCAAAATCGACGGATATATAAACTTGAATATCTCCTAAACGGCTTAGGATAGAGACACTCTACAATCAGCACTCTATTATATCCGTTTGGCTCTACGTTTTGAGCATGTTTAGAGAATGATTCGATTATTAATAACTGAGAAAAATTAAAAAAAAATAAAACCCTTGTCAATAAGAAGCAACTGAATCCACTCCTTAATTTGCATTGTTTTCTTTGATATGTAGCCAAATTTTCATTGAAATCGGAGACAAAAAATTTTTTTCTCAAAAAATTTGGAAGGCTATACCCTTTCCTTTTTTTTTTGGATAATAAAAGTTTAAAAAAATTTACGTATGTATAGAATGGACCGTCAGGATCTCAAAAAGATACTGTTCCCCTCTAACAAGACTAATTAAAAAGTTGGAGCCCATTTCTTAAAAAGTATCCAACATAGAGAGACGCAGACACCAGCAAGACATTTTAAATCGTTTACTGTAACGTAGTGACGTATTTCATGGAGATCGGAGCAGAAATAACATTTTTCCATACTTACTTGGTTTCCGTTTCAAACTACTAAAAGTTGCGATTTCGTTGACAAAATTTTGGTATCAGGATAGCAGAAGAGCGAGGAGATATTTAAGTTCCTCAATCAAATTACTATAAAATTCAGGGTAACGCAAAATTAAGTTTCTTCATCAAATTGTCATTGCCATTCAGGGTAACGCAAAATCGACGAATATATAAACTTGAATATCTCCTAAATGGCTTAGGATAGAGACGCTCTACAATCAGCACTCTATTATATCCGTTTGGCTCTACGTTTTGAGCATGTTTAGAGAATGATTCGATTATTAATAACTGAGAAAAATTAAAAAAAAATAAAACCCTTGTCAATAAGAAGCAACTGAATCCACTCCTTAATTTGCATTGTTCTCTTTGGTATGTAGCCATATTTTCATTGAAATCGGAGACAAAAAAATTTTTTCTCAAAAAATTTGGAAGGCTATACCCTTTCCTTTTTTTTGGGATAATAAAAGTTTAAAAAAATTTACGTATGTATAGAATGGACCGTCAGGATCTCAAAAAGATACTCTGTTCCCCTCTAACAAGACTAATTAAAAAGTTGGAGCCCATTTCTTAAAAAGTATCCAACATAGAGAGACGCAGACACCAGCAAGACATTTTAAATCGTTTACTGTAACGTAGTGACGTATTTCATGGAGATCGGAGCAGAAATAACATTTTTCCATACTTACTTGGTTTCCGTTTCAAACTACTAAAAGTTGCGATTTCGTTGACAAAATTTTGGTATCAGGATAGCAGAAGAGCGAGGAGATATTTAAGTTCCTCAATCAAATTACTATAAAATTCAGGGTAACGCAAAATTAAGTTTCTTCAT